GAACATCAAGGAGGAAGCAGGTTTGTTTTTCTAGTCTGAAACCCTCATCTCTCTCCCCCTGTAGTAAATCCTTCCCAACTCAACGTTGTGTACAATTTAGATGTTATGAGCTGTTTTATTTAGGTATGGGAAGAAAAAGCTCCTACAAGTCCGTAGGTCTGCTCCGTGATGGGGCTGCCCTGGTTTGTGGATACGACCGTCCTGTCCCTTACCCATGTGAACAGCCTCAAATTAGAATCCAAGTGCTCAGCTCCAGGAGAACAACCCAAATTCTGGGGTTCCAAGAGCAGAGGGTTACGGGCTTGATGATCTTTGTGATCCAACTGGGAGAATCTGACACACCTGTAACCCTGTGGGAAGTGGAAAGCTTGAGGCAATTTTAGGCAGCGCCTGTAGAAGAGAGGGGTAATTCTGAAAATGCCATTTAACCCCCAAATGGTTGTGTTCTCTGGTTTCAGTTTATACCAATGCCGGTGCTTTACGGCGTCTTTCTCTACATGGGTGTGTCGTCGCTCAGAGGCATTCAAGTAAGGACTCTCGTGCAGCATGTCGGCTCCCTGGTGTTCCACCTCATGAAAATGGAGCTGTGGCTCTGTAGCACTCAGGTTTGCCTCCCAAAACTGCTCAGCCAGCACAACCTCCCGTGCTTATGCTCAGCTTTGGTTCTCCACCCCCCTTGTGCCTCGTGCTGCTGTGCTTGGTGGCATCCATTCCCATCCTCACGGGTTACTGTGTGAAATATTTCTTGCAAGCCGACTCCTTCCGGATTTGACACCTGGGATGACATGTTGGAAACAACTGTGTTAGGCCCCCAGGGGCAGGAAGGACCCTAACTGGCTGGAGGAGCAGGATGGGGACAATGGGGACACACCCATGGACAGCACACCGATAATAAAACAGCCGATGCTGCACCTTGTTGTAGGGTCTCTGGGGTACTGTGGGCCCTGGGGGAGGGGGGTGTGGGGTGATCCCCACCCCTGCCACCCTTCCTGGGGTTCCCCAGGCTGCCAGGCACCCCTGGCCCCCACTGGTGGGAGCTGTGGCCTCCTGGCCCCTGGCCAAGCACTGGCAGCAACAACCCACGGCCACGTGGGGACAGGGCTGGGGACAGGGACAGGGGCTGCCTGTTTCCCCTGAGGGGGGGGGAGCTGTGCCCCTGCACCCCTGTGTGCACTGGGGGGGCCGTCCCTGTCCCTGGTGGCAGCCAGCAAAGGGAGAGGGTGTCCAGGAGGGTCCCCACCAGTGGCCTGGAGTTTGTCACTGCTGCAGGGCCAGCACCCAAGAGTGATGGTAGCACAAGGACTCACCAGGACAGGAGCTGCGGGACGTGCCAGGGTGTGCTGGGGAGGAACCATGTGGCCCCTCCCAGTGCCCCTCCCCCCCCCCAAAATGTCCTCACTGCTTCCTCCACCGTCTGCTGGGCTCATCCCCAGCACCCTCCCCAGTGTCCCCAGTACATCCCCTGTCTCTTATACACATAGATGTGTATAAGAGACCAGCTATATACTAGCGATTCAAATAAAACTAGACCAATGAATGTACCCTCTGGAAGAATATGTGAGCTAATCATACCTAATACTCATCTACTTAACACTTTCAGCAGAACAGACACGAAGGAGAAAAGACACAATGAAAAAAAAAAATAATCAGTAAATATCACTAATTTGAATTCAGTT